AAGTCGAAACTAAGATGAGAGCATTTGGACGAGAAAATGAAGAGGAAGTTTGAACCGTAGACCTTTCGCTAAGTATTTATTCAAGAATAAAAGCTGAAATGCATGAAATAAAAGAAACTTAAAAATTACTAAAAAGAAATTGTGCTGCCTCTGAAGAAATTCTTGTTTAACGTCAGTAACTTGACGATTCCAAATCAAAATCATTCAAGATCTAAGAAAGAAATGACGATTACGCCATGTTTTGGTATTTTCTAAAAGTGGAAGCATAAAAAGTGTGACACAACTAAATAGAATAAGTTCTAGGGGCGTATGGACTAATGTCATCTAATGCTAAAATCTATTGTTTGGTCAAAAGATCGAGGCTCTAGCTTAAACGTTTAGCGGTTCGCTCCAATAACTTTCGTATCAAGGAATTGTAACATAAGCGAGCACATACAAGCCTAGAGATTTGCACCCGATACTTTACGAACACGAGCATAGACATAAGAGAATACAAATTTTAGTTATGAACTTATAGAGTTAATCTCCAATCAGGGACCTAATTATAAGGGTTCTTGTTTTACAATTGATTGAGTATTTGTATACAATAAATACTTACCATAAGTACGCTTAGTCGCTTACCATAATTTTGTGAGTGAATTCATATTGATGCATGATAATTTGTAAATTATTAACCATTGTTAAGCTATGATTACCTAATGGATCAACTCAACCAATTCATAGCATGTAATAATTTGACTTTGAAAAAAAAAAAAAAAATCTAAAGATAAGGTTGTCCAGTACTTTATTAAGGTAGTTGTTGTGGCATGGTAGGTCTAACATAACCTCATGACATAACTACTTATATGCTTGTCCTTTAATCAAAACTAGTACAATACTCGTGTACAACACGAGCGTTTAGTTAAGAAATATATGATAAAAATTATTTATCTCTAATACCAACCAGAAATTCTATGACACTACATGTGACACCATATTGTGGTGCCATAGAATTATGTAATACCAAACCTAACTTCAGAGCAAAAATCATATAAAAACGTCACAAAACATAGATTTTCGCCATGTCAGCATTTGAAGCGTGAGAATCTGCCACTTAGGCTCAACACATTTTGAATTAATATATAAGGGAGGATATCATCATGCTACTTAACTTTAAAAAAAATAAAAAATTAATTATTGACTCAAGTCCTCACACCATACATAAAATTCCCAAAATATCCTAGATCTAACTAGAGGTTAATAACACTTCTAGATCAAGATTAAATCCTTCAAAAGAGATTAGTTCACCAAACACATCATTTGAAAACATACATAGAGGGAATAATATTATCTAGTTGGTATAGCAATCATATATATATTTGGTGTTGAAATTTGAAAATGGGGAGGTCATGTCAATTTATTTTTATTATTATTATTTTTTTTTTTTAATCCCACACCTTCCATAAACAAACCTCCATGCTATAGTCTACAATAACATAATCCAAAAACCACAAGTATAGCTTTTGTCAACAAACATTTCTTTAAGTAAGAGTAGCTATCATGATGATTCATGATCATATAACTTGCTCCACTTTCATAAATTTAAGTAGATAGAGAGAGAGAATTAGAAGAGAAGGGAGTTAGCTAGACATCAATGGAGATGATGAAGGCAACTCCCAATTATTTCACTCATTTTTTGTTCCTCATTATTCTAAGTAATTTGTTTTTCTCTTATTATTATGTCCATTCTCAAGGTTTAGTAGATTCATGTAATTCTCCCATCAACCTCCAAAGCTCTAATTTTCCCTTTGATACCACTTCTCTCCAATGTGTCTCTGTGTGGACTTCTCAAAACTTCATCCTCAGGGTAATTATTATCTCTCTCTCGTTTTTCAATCCGGACCGGCCCGGCGGGTCGACCCAGGACCCGACCGACACAGAGCTGGAACCGACCTGGGTAGGCTATTTGGACCGGGCAATAATGAACCCGGTCAAAACCCGGTCTTGACCCGGTCGACCCGGGCAATTGACCCGGCTGGGTCAACCTGGTTGACTTGGTCCTTATATATTTTTTATTTTCTAAATATTTTTTTATATACAAAATAAAAACTATGTAAATATATTGATATAGTAAATATTTATTGTGAGATATAATTCTTTTAGCACTTTGATGTACAAATTTTATATGCAAAACATTTATTTTTGTTATTTTTATGTATATTTATATGTCAAAAATACTATATATATATATATAAATTAAAAAAAAATTAAATTAATTATCCGGTTCAGCAATTGACCCGGTGACCCGGAGACCTGTCCGGGTCGATTTCCGGGCTGGGTTTAAAAACTATGCTCTCTCAACCAAGTTGATTCTTATTTTTGCTAATTTAATTTCAGTACGCTCAAGCGTCACAAAACGTGTGGAACTTTTTGCTGTCAGCACCCAACCAGAATGCCTACGTGGCCATCGGGTTTTCGCCCGACGGCAATATGATCGGGTCGAGAGCCATTGTCGGGTGGGTCGGGTCAGACGGGGTTTCCACCATGCGAAAATACTTTTTAGGAGGGAAATCGCCAAATCTTGTCACGGTCGAACAACCTAACCAAGGCTTATTGCAAGTTGGTAACCAATCCATGGTTGTTCAGTCGAGTCAAATATACATGGCCTTTCAGTTGCTGAGCGACTCGCCCAGCACGCGTCTGATATACGCAATCGGGCAGACGGGTCGACTGCCCGTCGGCCCGAACTATCAATTGTCTCAACACCAATCGATGATTTCCACGGTTCTTAATTATGCCACAGGTCAGTCTCGATGGTTAATATGATAGCTAGCTAGCTAACAATTTTGATCATGGTGTGACTCATCAGAATTAGCTGTGATTGATGATACATATATAAAAATTATTAATATATGACTTGCTGTTTGGGTTGGCTAGCTAGTGGTTTATTTAATTTAATTTTTTTGGTTATTTTAGTATATAAAATAAGTTGGTTGAGTTGTCACACGTTAATGCATGATGAAGTTGAATTTCTTGACAATTATTACAAGTGATTGAATCAAAATATCACTAATATTATTTTAATGTTGGATTTCAGTATTATTATTGACATCCAATAAAAAAAATATAGCATCAGAAAATACATGTATATACATATGAAATTCTATTTACAGGGAAAAAAAAATGAAATAAAATAAAATTCAAAAGTTTCCGTGCGAAATTTAAATTTTAATGATACATGTTGATCACAAGATGAGTATGTTACTATGTTATTTATTGGTCAATGGATGCAGGTCTTATTTATTTATATATTTATTTTTAATTATTAATGCAAAGGGATTATAAACTTAGGAAAATGCTACAATTCCGTTACGGAACCATTCCGTCGATATTTGTAATCGTTAGTTCATCATGTAACCGTCATGAATAGTTAATTTAACGGTTATAAACTCCAACGGAATGGTTCCTAACGAGACCGTAGAATCTCCCATAAACTAATATTTGTATTTGATAATTCAATTTTTTTTTATTTTCTTTTTGTAATAATTAATCCGTGGTCAATTGTCTACCTAACTTGTGCTAACCACTCAAGGCCTAATTTTAATGTCTTTATTTGTGTGTCAAACATCCCAACCAAATAATACTACTTTTTTAATCATTTATAAACAAATCATAAACCAAAAAAAAAAAAAAATCAGTTGAAAAAATTAATCACAAAAATAAGCTACAAATCGGGCAATGGTTGTTCATAAACAATGAATACTAGTATATATATATATATATATATATATATATATTTATTTAATAAAAATCTTCATAAATATACAAATGAAAACAAATTTGTAGATGGATGAACTAATTTTCTCAATATTATTTTTCGGATGCAATGCAGGTCAATTTCAATCACAAACAAGCACAGAATCAAGCCTTCGAAGAAGCCATGGGCTGCTGAACATGTTGGGCTGGGCTATTTTGATGCCTATCGGGGCAATGGTAGCCCGATATATGAGGAAATGGGATCCCATTTGGTTTTATTCTCACGCTGCCATTCAGTCATTGGGCTTCATATTGGGCCTCATTGGTATTATCTGTGGTTTGGTCTTGGAAAATCGCCTCAATGTCTCTGTTAACAGGCACAAAGGCATTGGTATTACCATCTTCGTGATGGGTTGTCTCCAGGTTAGATTAATCTGATCTTTAGATAACTTTCACCATATTTTTAATAAAAAATATGCATTGCTCCTTAATAAAATGTCCATGAAATATATTTAGCTACGGTCCCGTTACAGAACTATTTTGTCGGGTTTGGAACCGTTAGATCAACTATCCCCGACGGTTACATGATGATCTAACGGTTACAAACCCCGATGGAATAGTTCTGTAACGAGACCGTAGCATTTCTCATATTTATTTATTTATCTTTTATTTTTTGAAAAAATATTTTTTAGGTTATTGCAATATTGGTTCGACCGGACAAGACGTCTAAAGTGAGGAAATACTGGAATTGGTACCATTTTGGTGTGGGAAGGGCATTGATATTTTTGGCAGCAGTTAATGTGTTTTATGGGATCCATTTGGGCAATGCAGGATCCAGTTGGAATGCTGGTTATGCTGTTGTTCTTGTCACCTTATTCATAATTGCTCTTATTTTAGAGCTGAGGAGGATCTTTAGAGAGTGATATTTGACTCTCAACACCCCTTTTTATTTAAAATTTTACTTTTTATTTTTTATTTTTTTGTTTACTTTGAGGGCTCATAACTCGTAAGTTATATTGGATTTGTCGTGAGATGTGTATTTCAATGTTTAGGAACGATAGATCGTGTTGTCCTATAGTTTTCGTATTTCGTTACTGTGATTTCGTATTATCACTTCATTTGTGTTTTGTTTTTCCTTTCATGTGTCATGTTATATCAGCCATTTTCACTACTCCTATGATCCTATCATTCCCCTTTGTGATGGATGCACTCTAGATAACAAACAACAAATTTGTAAGGAAAAAGAAAAGGGGCATATTTCACAATACATTATGATTTATTAACACCACATGCAAAACATTACAAGGGTTTTCTTCTTCTTTACCCCATAGCTCAAAAGGTCGACAGCAGATGGCATAATATACGCTTCGTTTTTCACAACAATACTGCATTTTGGTAAAGCAAAAATCCTATCTGATACTGCTGTGTTCTTGCCCTAAGCTGAAAAACTACACCCTCTTACTTCCATGTGGATTGCGAAATGTTTTCTAAGTATATTTTTTTTATCAGAAATTGTCTCGGTTAGGTCAAATTTACAGACAAATAGATACGGTGCCTACCGAAGCTTTTGCTAGCTAGTAGTCGAGATGTTTTGGCCTCCAATTGTAGGGTGAACTCCATTACTTGCAGACGATCTATCTTTATGCACCCGTTTATAGAACAGAACGTAAGCAGCAGCAGATTTAACTTCATCCTCGTTGATTGGTGAGATATGGCTATCGTCAAAAGTGTACCATCTGTTCTCATCCAAAAGCTGCAAAATCATGTGTACATATTTTTTATTTTTTTTCAGAAAAAAATCTCTACCAGCAAATTCTTCTCACTTGCAGAACAAGAATAATGCAAACCTTAATATGTGCTGTGTAATGCCCACTTCCCATGCCACCATAGTGATTTGTCAAGGCATAGAGTTCATAGATCTGGCGCTGGGTATTGTTCTTGTTTGCAACATAATTCGTCAAATCAAAGTCGTGAATGGGAAAATTCACAAACGTGTCGAGCTTATGCTTCATGGACCTACTGTAAGAGAATCTTTTCAAGTGGATAACAAGAACTTCGGGGAGCCTCCAAAGATCCAGCTTCTTGCTTGCTTGGCGCCTCTCCTTGCATTGAGGGCAGTACCTTCATTACAAATTAAACAAATTATTTAATATAATATATTTATCTAAAATAGTTGCGATTTGCGAATTCGCGGAGCCATTATAATTTGTTAGATATTTTGTTTTTCCTTTTTCTTTTTTATTTTTGCAATAAACCCAGAATACAACTACAAAATGAATTAAATTGGTTATAACCTTAACAAAAAAAAAAACAATCAAAACTCAAATTTAACACAACTTTAACTCAACCTCATTATCTTCAATAATATCAATATAATTTAATAATATTAACTAATCATTCTTACACGTCACATCATAATTCATTATTCATCCACTCACATAATTTTAACCATTACTTCCAATCATTTTTCTCCTACTTTTACATCAAATCAACTTTTATTATTTATTTAAAATATTTTAATTTAAACTTAAATTTCAACTACAACTAATCATACCA